TAACTCAGATGGTAGATGGTATGATTTGGTACATATTATAATGGTGCAGTATATATAGATTTAGTCCAAAAAGTAAATTATATTATTTTAAAGGGCCTTTTGTAATGTAGTTGTCTTAATTTAATCAAACAGAATTAATCAAGACTAAAGACTATATCACAGATTTATTTTTTTTATTTTATGATTTCTTTGTGACTTAAAATTGTATGTTTCATTTTTATTAAACTACTCCGACCTACTGTGACTTTATATTTGGTAGAGATAATCACATTATTAAAAAAGCTGATGTCAAATGATTGTGGCAATTTGTGAAAACCTTCATGTAGGGACTTTTCAGGATTTGTTTTCTGTGACCCCAGGCTCTAGGTCCGGGTTTAGTGTTGTGAATGTTTTTGTTTTGTGTCTCAGGTGAACTGGGACAGTGAGAAAGAGTGTTTCAAAGACTTCAGTAAAGAGTGCAGCTTCTTCTACTCCATCAGGAAACAGTACATCCTGGACCCGCAGCCTGGAGACGACCAGGTATGTATCATCAAGATTTTAATTACTCTTAGTTTATTTTACTTGTACATAAATCTGTATAATTGTACCTTATTTAGCACAAGTCCTTTGTCATTTATCCACTTTATTATCCTCATGCCATACGTGTGTACGACGCATCTCTATGACTGAGTGCAAGATGATGAATTGATAACTTTAAATACTTTTCTGTGCTGCTGCTGAGGATTGAATTTCCTCTGGGATCAATCAAGTCTTATTGTTTTAAGTTTATTATCATTGTTTTGATTTTTGTTAAGATATTGTAATGTTTAAGCTACTGTGTCCCTTGTGGGTCTTGTAGAAACAGAAACATTTTATAGTTGTAATGAGAAGGAACGTGATCAGCCTACAGACCAGTTTTTAAAGCACCCTATGTCAACAGATTTGGTCTACCCTCTAGTGGCGAAACTAAAAATGACAAGTCTAGGAAACTGCTTTGATAATCTGATACCCGCTAAAGGACATAGAAACAAATTACAACTAATAAAAACAAAACAAAATAAACATAACAGAAACTATAAAAAAAAAACAATTCATTATCATTAAAAGCTATACAGTAAGCATCTAGTGATTAAGTCATATTTTGGAAATCTTACAAAACAAGTTATTAAGCTTTATTTAGCATAACTAGCGTTATTTATATGATTCTGAAATATATTTTATTTTTCAGGACACAGACTCGTGGCGATGGAAAGTTGAACATGTGATTTTCAAAGCGTTTCGGACCCTCTTCAGTCCTCCTAAACATTTCAGTGAAGATGGGACAGTTCTGCAGATCGCAAATTTACCAGACCTGTACAAAGTGTTTGAGAGATGCTGATTATTAACATGCACCAGTCCACAAATATATGCTGCCCTTTTTTTACTGTTTAATGTATATTTTGTAATGTAAATAAAAATATTTCATGGAGTTAAAATAAGAGCATTGGAATTGCATTTTATTAGACAGAAATATTGCCAAATTAGACAGCTCACAGGTAAATCTTTTATTTTAATAATTTAATATGATCTGAAAATCATTTTATTTGTGATACAATTATTTATCTAATCAAAAACAATTATTTATAATCTGTTTTAAATAATTTGGGAACACATTTTCCTCATTTTGAATCACAGTGGCTTTTAAAACACCAGTCTCAAAGTACTGCTAATTAACGAGAAGCATAAATCTTCTTCTCCAGGTTAATCTTTGACAATACATGAATGTGTTCAGAAAGATCAATATCTGAATTTTAACTAAATGATGTTTTATTGTTTATATTTTCTTAAATCTCACATGATTTACTGATCGGTCTACCCTCATCTATGGTCATGAGCTTTGTATAATGACCAAAAGATCACGGATAAGCAGTTGAAATTAATTTCTTCCACATAGCGACTGGGTGCTCCTTTAAAGATAGGGTGAGGAGCTCAGAGTAGAGCCGCAGCTCTTCAAGGGAGAGGAGCAGCTAAGGTGGCTTTGGCATTTGTTTCAGATGCCTCCTGGACGCGTCCCTGGAGAAGTGTTCAGGGCATGTCCCACCAGGAGGAGGCTTTGGGGAAGACCCTGGACACTGGAGGGACTATGTGTCTCGGCTGGCCTGGGAACACCTTGGGGTCCCATCAGGAAGCTGGAGGAAGAGCCCAGGGTGAAGGAAGTCTGGGAGTCCCTGCTTAGACAGCTGCCTGGTCCCGGATAAGTGGAAAAAAAAATCAATATATTGCACTTCAAAATGTGTTAATGTGACAAGCCTAGTCTGGTCCAAGTTTAGTTCCTGGTTTATTCCCAGTTTCGAGGTGTGAATGCCGCCCATGTGCCACTCTCATGTCAGCAAATCAGACACAAAGAAAGAGCCGCTTTGTAAACACATTTGTAAATTACACATTTATTTTCAAGAAATCTTTTAAATATCTGAAAAATTTCCATGAAACCTCAGCAGACACAGTTGTTTCTCTATTATATATAGTCGCAAATACCGACTGCACCTTTTTACTTTAAATACATACCATCATCATTTAGTACCTGTTTAAACAATGAGCAATGGAGTGGTGCGGACCCCCAGTTTTCCTTAATGCAAGAAGGCACTTTACTGAGAGGGAGGATGGGGAGAGGCGGCTCTACAAAGCTTTTGTTAAAGAGTCATTCATGCAACTTATCAAAAAAAAAAAACAACCAAAATACGCCCAAGCACCCAGGCAAAGAAATGCAGAAAACATGATGTAGTACAAATACCTGTAAATTAAGTAGTGATTCAAATAAAAAGTCCAAAAAAGTGCATCTCCCAGCAATATCATAGGTTTATTATTATTATTACTGAAGACACACTATGTAACTTTTCTGGAGGAAGGTATACAACTTGTCTGTCACCACGGAGACGTTACTGCTTTGCGTAAATGTTCCACAGTATGGCATTAAACACATCCATCTTTCTTTTATACAATTACAAGTGTTTTATTGATTAAAAATACCTCGAAAAACAGGTGAGTGGGGTCACCTCGCCACAGATCTGACCTGTAACTTGACCTGTAACTTAATGCCACACTGCAGAACATTCCAAGCAAAGCAATAACATCTCTATGGAGACAAGCAGGCACCAGAAAAGTCACACAGTGCATCTATAAGTTGTTGTATCTCCCAAACGCTGCAGGACAAAACAAGAAAATTGGACACTGGGACATTTTTTTTTCTTCTGTGCTACGATTGTTTTTTTTTGGTTAGCTACAAATAACAAGTTACGATGATGTGCTCCTGGTGAGGTTCGGCAGTCACAGAGAGGGTGCAGGTTTAGGGTTCATCATTCATTTGTTTGTTTGGATGGATGGGCCTGTGGGGGGCAGAGGGGCAGGGGGCTGGTCGGGTGGGAGCGGGTGTTTTTATTGTTGGGACAGTAGCGCGTTCCTGTTGGCCTTCATCTTCTCCAGGCGTTTGACGAGGTGGTTGTTGGTCATCTCCATCTCCTCGATTTTGTCCAAAGCCGTGCGCAGCTGAGAGACAGAGAGGGAGAGGGAGTGAAAGAGAGAGAGGGGGAGAGGGGGTGGGAGAAAGAGACAGATAGAGAGAGGGAGGGAGAGAGAGAGGTAGAGAGCGACAGATAGGGAGAGGGGGTGAGAAAAAGAGGCAGAGAGAGAGAGATAAAGGTAGAGAGACAGAGATAAAGGGAGAGGGGTTGAGAGAAAGAGACAGGGAGGGAGGGAGAGGGCGTGAGACAAAAAGACAGAGGTAGAGAGAGAAATACAGATAGAGGGAGGGAGAGGGATTGAGAGAAAGACAGAGATAGAGAGAGGGAGGGAGGGATGGGGGGGTGAGAGAAAGAGATTGAGGGGTAGAGAGAGAGAGATAGCGAGAGGGAGGGAGAGATAGAGATAGAGAGGGAGAGGGTTTGAGAAAAAGAGAGAGAGAGATAGAGAGAGGAAAGGAGAAATAGAGAGGGAGGGAGGTGGAGATGGGGTGAGAGAAAGAGAAAGGTGGAGGTAGAGAGAGAGAGGGAGGGATAGAGAGAGAGGGGGAAGAGGGAGATGAAGAAGGAAAGACAGAAAGGTGACAGAAAACATAATAATAAAAAATAAGCATTAGAATTGGGCAGTTTGTAAATGTGATGTTTCCTAATGCTGGCTGACCAATAAACCCACTTTTACTCTTTGGCTTTTAACACTGCGTGAGATGTGTGGTCCTCCATGTGTTTTATTTATTTTTATGTTATTATTATTATTATTTTTTTTTATGTTTTCATTATTTATTGGTATTCTTGCTCTTATGAGATTTGACTAATTTCATTGTCTTAATGAGGACTAGTGGAGTTAAGTAGAACTTTATGTTTATATTTCTATTGGGCATGTTTTATTCGTATTGGGCAGCACTTTGGAAACTGTTTTGTTTATGTAATGTACTAAAGAAATAAATTGAATTGGGTTGAATAAACATTGTGAATCTCAATAAAAATGTATGCATTTACAGTAAAATAAAAAAGCCTCCAATACAATGTAAAAACAGATAAAAACAAATGTATCCATAAATTTGTGGTGATGATTCTTGATACTGGTGTAATGAAAGGCTGTATGATTCGTATAAAGTTAATAAAGGTTGAATAACACAAAAAAAAACACTTTTACTATTTATTCTTACAGAATACTGGGAGAAACAACACTGAAAAATGTGATTAAGTGAGACTAACCTAGCCCAAAAGCTAATTCGCTTCAACTTTTCAGGGTTAAGATGAGACCACACAGTGAAACAATGACTCTTTACCTCTCTTTGTAGTTTTCTTTTCTCTGCTTTAAGTTCATCTTCTATTTTCTCTGCGTTATCGGCTGACGCCTTGTACCTGGCCACCTGCCCTTCAAGTCTGTTTATCTGAAATTGCAGACACACAATACATGTGTTAAAAAAAACAATTCATGTTCAAATCAGTACATTTTTAGGGTCTTTGCTACTCACATTTTGCTCCATCGTACCCATTTCTTGTTCTGCTTTAGATAGCTTAAATTTATATTCACTAATCTGTCGGTTTGCATCTCCTGTGGAAAGTAATGGTTACAATTAATTTTAGCCCATAACAAGTTTAAAAGAAAAATAAATAAAAATTACAGTAGTTTCATACTAAATACCCCCAAAAGCTTTATCTCGCTCTCACTGATTCCAATAAATCACTTTAATCTTTTTGATTTCTATTTTTTGTATTATTATCTTTTTTGGCACCCCACTTCACCTATTTCTGCCTGTTCCAGATGATATAAATACAGTAGTTAACCCATCGTCCTCTTACTCTGCATCTCTATGTAGTGCAGGTCTGTGCCGTTCTCCACTCTCTCTCCGTCCGTGTAGCCATCGCTCTTTGCGTGTTTCTGCTTCTCCTCCTCCAGTTGGTTCTTCAGTTTCCTGATCTGAGCCAACAGTTCGTCTTTCTCATCCGCCAACTTCCGTAGCCTCACGTCTACACAAGGAAATCAAAAGAAAACAATACAATCAGAGGAAGACAAGGCTTTATATTAGCAACCTCAAATGTTTAGGTCCTTCTGAGCAAACACAGTTACTTTTCTAGTTTTACTTTTACCTAAACAGTCAAATTATTTAAAAAAAATCTGACATTTGATACTGTTAAAATCAAAGTTTGGGCACTTCATCTTTGGGTTGTGTTATTTCTGACCAAAACAAACCCATTGTACCAAAATATGGACCATTTTGTTTTTGAAAACCATGCAGAGGGATCTGATTTGTGCATTTATAGATAGAAGACATGTTTGTGGCTTCAGAGTGCTACACCTATAAATCTGAGATGATATGTCATGGCTCCATGCAGTTCACATTAGACTCACCCAAAGGTCCCTCTCCTGCAGACTCCAGCACCTGCGCCGCCTCCTGTGTTACCACGGTGATGCCAGACACGGGCTCGTGGTTCACGTCGCCATTTGGGGTGCCGTCCGGGATGATCACCAGACCGTGTTTCTGACGGAGGAGGGGGGAATTAAAAGTTTATTGCAAAATACAAAATTAAAATACAAAATCTTATCCAGTACAATGTTGTTTACCACTCTATCTCAGCATTTTGGAGAAGGTTTTGTTTTGTTGTTTGTAAAATCTATGATATAAATAAAGTGGATTTGGACTGTACAATTTCATTTAAAAACATTTCTAAATTATGATAAATATCTTCACCAACCTAGTGTGATAAAAAAAACTCTTACTTTTCTACAATATTAATATAGGCATTTTAGGAAACAGATTTTTCAATGCAGGCTTTTTTCTCTTAACTTTAGTGGGTCAGGTTTAAAGATCATAACTTAAAATATATTGCAGTAGTAAAATGCAATCACAAATCACACTGGAACGACCCTGAGACAACTGAATAGATATGAAGGTATAGGTGTACTTTCATTGTCTGTTTACTAGTTTGGATAGTAGGTGAACTTTTGCTTAATGTATTCCCAGGGGTGAAACTTTTTCCACAGAGCTGCTGCTAAAGGAAGAATCGCTGACTGCGTTTAGTTCGGAGCCGTGAGCAGTTTCTGAACCAATAAACAGCAGTAATCGCACACAGCACCGAGCGTAACAGGAACCATATGAGATGACAGAAGGAGACAGGGGCATGAATCAGAAAAACAGAAGGATACATAAAAGTCTCAAGAACACAAGGGAAAGAGAGTCTGTACTTGAAAATTTGGTTCGTTCAGATACACAACATAGGTACATTTATTCTTCACGTACATCTCAGCAGGGAAGAGAAATATATATGATCAGTTGTGCTAAAACATGTGAGTGTAACCTGCTTGACTTGATGGAAATGTCAATTCTTTGCCTGGAATGTTCCACAATATGACATTACACTTATGGATCTCCAAGAAGACAACAGGCCAAGCTACAGCTCACACTAACAATGTTTTTCCAAGATATTTTTGTAATAGAATAAATGCAAGATAGATCAGTTTAATGCTGTACTGTGGATATTCCAGGTAAATAAACATCTCCAAGGAGACAAACAGCTGACTGTCCCAAGAAACATTAAACCTGCATACCTTTACAAATCTGAAGTGTGTCAACTATCCCATAAGATTATCTAACTGCCCCACTTTGCTTATTAAAACATGGGTATTCATTGGCCAGGTTTACATGATGTTTTTTAATTCCAAATTAAATTATACTGAATTATATTATTCTTCTGCGAGTTTACATGGAACATGTTAAATTGGCTTTATTTAACTCCGCTCAATGTCTGGGGGTCGGGAAAGGTTCCAATCGGACAGGGACACAAATGTATTTACATCTACCGGAAGAAAACACACGATTGGCTGGCTACCAGCTTTTGTGTCATCTCAGATTGTCATTACGTATGAGGGTGCGTACCTATATTCCCCGGTACTGCTCCAGTTTGTATGAGAAGGGGAACGGCGCTCAAAGAGTCCCGGTGTTCCTTTAGTTCAGTGGGGAGTGATTAGGTGCCTCGGCCTGAGAAGCACTTTCCCCGGGAATAATCATTAGGAATTAAGTGTTTACATGGTCTTTTTAAAGCGGAATTAATTTTTTATTTCTCATTAAATTATTTTTAATTGGAATTAAAGCTCTCATGTAAACGGGGCAGCTGACAATTAACTTCAGAGAATACCTGTAATATCACGAATACCAGTATCCTATATTTGGCCTGCTGCTGTGGCCGATACCTGTTAATTGCTGAGACAGATATTTAGCTTTTAAAATCCATAGCGAGGCCCACAGATTTGTATTAAGTTAAGTAACAATCGGCCAATATCGAAGAATTTGTATTGATATTGGAAAATACCAATACTAGAACTGATTTATCACTCATTGCTGTCACCAAGTATCTCATGAACCCATTTTTACAAACAGTACCACTTAAAACAAAAATGCTGATTAATAATTTTGATCTTGTTGTCCACTAGTACACCCAGACATGTCAGTGGGACCTACCTCTCCTGCTTTGGCCTTCCCCTTGATGTCAGCCAGTTCATCTCTCAACTCATCCCTCTCATTCCTAATGCAATCAAAGTATTCTTTCTGCCTCTCTAGGGCCTGGCCACACACACCAGAGGAGAAAGAAGAGAGACAAGAGGAGAGGACATTTGGAAAGGACATATGAGACACAATCACAGAGACTACAGTGGGACATGCAGAGACACATGCAGAGTGCAGCATCCATTCAAAACTATGGATGAAGAGACACACCCACATGCAAGAGGTCAAACCATGACATCTTACAAATCCTACTGAGTTTAACTGTCTGGAAACTCAATTTTTTGAAATTTACTTTGGCTTTGAAATCATGCAATAAACTGTTACATTTCACTGTACTAACACCAGATGGCAGTATCGAACCCATTAAACCAAGTGACCAATATCTTCAGTTGCTTTACTTTTCAGAGATAAGGGTCATTGTCTCAAACAAATGTAGAGCTTGCATTTATTTTGACATTTATAACTTCATTTTTTAAAATATTTTTTGTGGCTTTTTAAGTCACAAAAATTAAGCTTCGTTGTGTCATAAAAAATAGCAATCCCTAATACTCAAATTTTGCATTTTTTAAAAAAACAGCATTTACAATGTTATTGATATTTTGCCTTCATTACTTATTATTAAAAATCTTATACATTTGACCCAGATCACAGTTTGGTCGACCTCTATGACATGCTTACAGGAATACAGCTGAAAAAAGAGGAGAGATGGGAAGAGAAGTCTCTAAGGAGGAAAATATTGCTTTTATTCTATTTTCCAAAACACAAACTAGAGAGATTATCTCTCTCCAAAACCATATCAAACATAGGCTATAAGCATTGTCTCATGCTAAAAATAAAATAACTTCTGCAGCCAAACCAAATGGTCTACTTCACAGGCTGACCACCACAACAAGCTTTGACTACAACTATACTGGATTAGTTATAGATCAAAATTAAAAACCTGGTTATTTCAGCATGCAAAAGTCCAAATTAAACTTAAAAATCACGCATTTTCTACAGTTGGGTCTCCATCATGCAGAGGCAGCTTGAGAGGCAAAGAGTCTTAAAGGAAACACTCTTTATTATAACAGCATTAATAGAGAGGTTCCTGGACACTAGATCAGGATTCGTCTTTTGCCTCTCACAGTTGCCCGAGCTCCACGAGGGACCTCCTACCCCGATCTTTTTGTCCTTCCAGTTTATCGTTTCCTGGAGGTCAAACACCTCACGGGTCAGGGTGTCTAACTTAGTCCGCATTTGCTGGTTCTCCTGCAACGGGTGAGTGACGGAAAAAAGGATGGATAGAATGAGTGAGAGTGCAGTAATGAACATAGAGAGAGAGAGGGAGAGAGAGATCGAGTCCCCACATCACAGAACGAGGACTTCACTGTGCAAACATTTGATACAGTATGGTTGATTTCCCCATCATTGCAACCCCCTTTTCCTCCAGCTAAGGTACAGTACTTTGGACCTAGGCCAGCTCAAGATCAGCCTGGGTGCTGAGCTGTGGCACCCACTGTTCCTGACTGGTTGACTCAGCAGTACTAAAAAATGGGTCAACGCAGGAAAAAAATAAAAGTATAAACATTCAGGTGTACCTTAATCTTGAGACTACATGCTTTCCTGTTCTATATGAAGATGTAAAGTCTGAGACCTTAACCTCTTGAGTTATTTGATTTGGGTTTGATTTGTTCAACATCAAAGTTGTGGGTGGAATCATTTGCCGTGAGCAGGGTCCAAGCAACTGCATTTGAAATGGCTCGTCAGGGTAGTACATTATTGCCAATGGAAGTCATGACTCTTCCGGTTTGGGACTACTGGGACATCTGTGGTCCATGTGGGGTTGACCTCTGAAATGAACTTCGGCAAAGTTCAGCTAGAAGTGGCATGAGGCCCGGCAGTCGTGTGAACCAGAGCACTGACACCGAGTGAAATGAAAAGATGAAACTTCATGGGAAAGGTCCAATGTCGGCCCTTCCCAATTAAAAGCAGCCTCTTCTGGTCCTGTTTGGTGGTCTGGAAGGGTCACACACAGTGCTTTTTGTAGTGTCTCACCTCTATAAGCTCATCCCTCTGACGCAGCCCCTCTTTAAGTTCTTCCTGTTTATGCTGCAGAACTGTACACTGGTGCTTCTGTCGTTCTAATTCCTGTAAAGAGGAAAAATACAGATTATAAGGAGCTCAAATTATTATGGTTTTTCATGAGAAATTACAATACATTTTTTAAAATACACAGCCGATGATCAATAAGCAATATTAGACATTTTAACTCATTTAACTAATTTATTATGTAAAATTACCAAAGAATAACAAAATCAACACAAAAGCTGCTCAAATTTAGCCTAGTGCCTCTGCTCAATTTCATCTCTCTCCAGCAACTAGGTCAGGAATCAGAATACACTAGATGGTTTGCAAAAACCCCAGAAGTTGTAGACCGCACACCAGCCAATCAGTGAAGAGCTGTGAAGCTGGGTCCTTTTTGTGGTACAGCACAACTGTAAATAAAGTGGCCGAGATGGATGTAGACAAAGACAAAGATTCCCAAGAGGATTTAAAACCTGAACAAAGAGAAAGTTTGGTGAATTTTATCAAGGGGAAAGATGTTATCACCCTTCTTCCTATGGGATTTGGGAAAAGCTTAATATACTAGTTAGCCCTGTTAGCGGCACATTACATACATCATGACCAAATAGCAGCGATTAGTTAAATAAATAAATAAACCGAGCGAACGAATCCTAATGGTGCGAGGTCAGATGGTTTCCACAAAGTGAAACTGGCTGATGAATCAGGCTAGCTCAAATTGCCCTGTTTTACTATTTAGACTATTTTTTTTAACCCATGTTGCTTTTAGTGTAATTTACAACCATAAAGCGTATTCATATTGATCATACAAAATATAATTTTTTTTTTTTTTACTTTACTTTTTGTCCCATACCACAGATGGCATAATTCTGCCATTCCTTTAGCTGTACACTAAAGATTAAACTCTCCACCTTGGTCTTGTCCTCCAGATCTCTCTTCTTCTTGATTATTTTCTATAGTCGACTAGTCACGATTAGTTAGTCAATTAATCACTGCAGCCCTAATCATTACAATAGTTTACATAATGTACAGTAAAGTCCTCTGGTGTTAATTTGGTTAATCTGTTCACCTTTGACTTGTCCTCCAGCTCTCTCTTCATCTCAGACATCTGCTCCTCCATTTCCTCGATGACGTCTTTGAGCGTGTCCGTTTGGTAGATGAGGTTTGCTTTGTCGTTGTCCAGCTGTGCGTTGGACACCATGGCTTTCTTATACTTCTCCTCCACTTCTGTCAATGACTCCTGTTTATTCAAATTATGATTGTTAGAGTAAGTACGAGTTAAATTACGATTATTTTAACACAAACCAGCCACTGTACATGCATCAGGACTGGGCTCTGTGCTAAAACACCAAAGTGGGTATCCAGTCAAAACATGTTAGCAAAAAAATACTAATATTCTCGCACTTGGTAGACTAGTTTGTGATTGACGGAAATGGATAAAATAATCAGACTGCATTGAATCCTGAAATGAAAATGTAGCACTATCAGAATAAAAGATACTATAGTAAATTAAATAAGAGGAAAGTAAGACTAGAGGTGAGGTTTGTTAGTAATCTACTGGCACAAAATGCAAAGTAGTGACAAGAAAGTAAAAGAGCAATTTAAAACCAGTATCAGAGCTGGTGGTTTACACGAAAATCTGCAATTCTAATAGTAGCAGTATCAATAAAAACTAAAATATAGTTGCATATTTCCCAATGTTTTAAGATTTTTGTTGTTGTTTCTAATTAATTTATTAAAAGCTTTCACAAATCTCTGTATAAACAATATGATAGTACCTATAATCTAGTTTTCCCAGCATGTACAGTTTGTTAATCCAATACAGAAATTGTCTTTGAACAGGCCACAACCAGTGAGTGAACATAGGGTCATGCAAGGAATTGTTTTAGCATTTCAAACTGGAAGCACCAAAGAAGACGATGGAGAGGAACAGGAGTGGGGTTAGTGGCACCACACTGCCCCCAGAGGGACGACAAGGTGACAGGAGAAAGGTGCAAGGACGTAGGTGCTAGGACATAGGTGATAGGAGGCATGCTGCGAGCTCAAGCCCCTCTACCTTCAGCTCTTTTAGGCCCTGCATGTAGCGGCCTTCTACATCCTGAATCTGGTCCTTTAGTTCATAGATATCCTGTAGAGCAGATGGGGAGATGGGAGGGAACGGATGGAGGGAGTCAAGGAGATTATCAAGGAAGAAAAAGATAAAACAAGCCCCCAACTACCCAGGAAGACACAATCCAGCTGGTAGACATGACCACTATAGAGCAAACGGTGTAAGACTTTAAAAGAGACATAGGCAACATTCAGCTCATCCAATCGTCCTCGTGCATGAAGAAAACTGTGCAAACATTTAGAGAGGCAGGGAGGGAAGTAGTAAATCACTGGAATAGACATGAAACATCTGGATTAGCAGCTAATGCAAAAAAATAGCACAACAGTTTGCATATGACAACTAAATATTATTATCAGAATTTGAAAATGATCTTAAGGTCCTTGGCTGTTTCATAGTTTGTTCAAAATTGTTGAATTGGTGTCAAGCCTCGTAATATTTTGGTCTGTCTTGTGTCTGAAAATGAGATATGGTATCAGAAAGCTCAGTCAAATTTAAGTCCAAAACAAGCTTAATGAATTGGGTAATGTCTATAGCCTCGATATGCTGGGCAGTTAAATCTGGTATTACTAACACAAAACACATCCATCGTTTAAAATATGTTCACATTTTCAGATTTTGGCAGCCAAAATGTATCATTTTATAAGCCTTTAAATAGTTATCTTTTATGTAAATCGTGTAGAATTTGAATTTAAATGTACTGATTTCTTTTTGTTTATTTCATTTATATTCTTTTTTTTTTTTATTGTAGGTGATGTTTACAGTGTAGTTTAATGTTTATTTGGCACCAACAATAAGCTTGTCCTTGTCTATTTTTTGCTGTAGAATATTTGTTCTAAACTGAAAATGTCAATAAAGAAAGTTGTATAATTAGTTAACTTTCCCAAAAGTGATGGTTCATTCAAGTACACTACACTGATAATTTAAAGCTGATGTAATCAAAATTTCCCTGGGGGTGTGATGCTGACTGTAGGCTTTACTCTGTCTGAAGCTCTATTACATTTTAATCTAGGAGTCTCCAACCTTTTCCCCTCAGTGAGCTACTTTTACAAAACAAAAATGGCAGAAATGATGAACATTTTAATTTATCATGGGCTAATGAAAATGTGTTGTCTTCATTCAGTATTTTTTCTTGAGTTTTTAGACTATCTTAAAACTTCTTTGACAATATTTCCAAATATTTACCCATAAAGATACATGTAGAACAAACCCAGCTTGATGTCACTGCCAAGTATCAATATAATATTATCGCACAATGCAAACTAAAAAAAATCTAACTGAAGACATATGTCGATAATGGTCTTACAAATGGAGGAGTTGACATAAACTTATTATTTGTTAGGTTTCCCAATATTGAAAAAAATGTATGTAATTACGTTTCAGCAAAAAGCCTTCGTCAGATCATTTCTCTTGCCAGTGCTGTTCCTTGCATTTGCACCTCTGCAGGAACTTTGGTGTACGTTGTCTGTTTCATCCGATTCCAATAAAGAAAACACAGCTTTGTGCCTTTAAAATGCAGTACATACACTTTGCTTTTATGCTTACTATACAAAAAGAAAAGGTAATTGAAAACAGATAAAGGTGTTAAAACTAAGGGTTGGCATATTTCATTATTGGAGGCACAACTGTAATTTTAAATGTTATGATGATATTTGTTCAGCCAGGTTTAGTAGCTTGAACAAATTCACATAAATAACAAAAGGTAAACGGGTCTGCAGTGAAGCTGGTAAATACATAATACATGATGTAAAGATGCGAGCGCTCAAACTCACCCTCATTTCACTTAAACTGGTGTCGGGGTCATAGATGCTGCCCGTGTCTGTGCTGCCCCGTCTGGACGAGGTGCCCCCCAAAGAGGCGAGGGTGGCGGCCGAGAGCCCAGGGGTGGCACAGCGGGACGATGGCTGGAGAAAGAGAGAGGAAGAGAGGGGGAGGGAGAAGAAGAGCAATGAAATACAACAATACTAAAACATCAACAGCACACAGCAACCCAACTCCAAAGGGTAATTTAAAGCCATCATGTGACGACCAGGGAGTGGATCATGTGTCTTTTACCACAAAGACAAGGGGAAAGTAGGTTCAAAGTGAAACTAATTTATTTAACAAGTACGACAATTTCAATGAGATTTTTTTTAAGGATTTATTTTTATTAATCGCTGCACTTTTTTCCCCTCAATAAGTTGACTATTACTTGCTGCTTTGATTTCTTTAGATCAAAATAAAAATATACTGACTGAAGGCTTCTAAATAGATAATATTTACAATTAAAGCACATTATTGATAAAAAAAAAAAAAAAATTATAATAAAATAAATGTGGCCCCTTTGATTTAATACCGTCCCTAATCCGTGTATCATTCGTTTTTCAATATAAAACCAAAAATAAGAAAATGAAAAACAGATTCCTTCATTATTTGTCCCCAAAACCAAAATGAAAAAACAGATAACAATTGTTTTTTTCATTTTTCGATTTTGTGTTTAAATTAATAATGGAAAAAATTGATAACCGTGACCGTTTCCATGACTTAAACTGCGATGCTGGACTTTTGTGCCACATACGGACTGAACCAGAACTGAACCAGGTCCAGGACCAGACAGGATTGAGACCGGGACTGAGACCAGGACCAGACCTGGATCAGACCGGGACCGAGACAGGGACCGAGACCAGGACCAAAAACGGTTTAGCCCTAGTTTAGTCTTGTTTTAGTCCTGATTCAGTCCTGGTTCAGTCCGTATAAGGTGCAAAAGTCCGGCATTGCAGTTATGCGTTATCCATTATCAGTTATCAGTTTTTTCTATTATTCATTTAAACACAAAATCGAAAACTGAAAAAAAAAAAAAGAATCTTTATCTGTTTTTTTAAATTTGGGTTTGGAGACAAATAATGAAGAAAATAGTTGTTTTTCTGTTTTATTTTTGGTTTTATATTGAAAAATGAATGAACGAATGATACACGGATTGTCCTTGTCTTTGTTCCCTCTTCTTCTTGGCCTTAGTTTTAGAGCCTGTATAGTTCAGATAACGACTAATGATTATGAAAACAGTCAACATTTTTAATAGTCAATTAGTAAGTAGTTACTCCAATTAATCACTGAAGCCCTAAAAGAGCATCAACACTTGGGTTTTAGAGTTATAGAGTTTATAAGAATAATGCATTGGCTGTTGAAATGTACAGTGTATTTAATGGGTAATAACAAACAAACAAAATTAACCAGCGAAGTTTGTAATCATACTTGTAGCATTATTTGACTTGTGTAGTAACAAAAACATATGGACCTCAAGTAAATATTGGAATCTGATCTTACCCGGCTGTAATCTGAATACTGCTTGTCACATTTTTCATCCAGCTGCAAAACAGACAAAATAGAAAAAGTTAACGTTGTCCTTTAAACAAAAACATGCATTTTCTCTAGTCATGCTCTTTACCAACTCCTTGTGATTTCCTGCAAAGTTAAAAAGTTAGTCAAAACATACAAGTTGAGGGATAAGTGCTGCATGTTCACAGATTTTTGATAGAAAAACCACACACTAAAACTGAGTGAAACACAATCTTGTTTTAGTTAGTGCCAACAACAACAATACATCTCATTTGTTAGACAAGTTTCATAACCATACTATTCAACTCTAATACAATAAATCCTCTGCAAATCATAATGTTGCAAACGTAAAACACACACAGTGAATAAACAAATTGTTTTTTTTTCTCTCCATGCATCTCTCAATTATCAGGACAACATCTGGTAATGCTTTTTAGGGCACACAAACATCTAACTAGTTGCTAATTTGCATATATGTAAAGTAATGTGATGTTAAAGTAAATGAATAAGCACTAATAAGTAAAATATCGGAGCAAATAGTTAATAAAATATCAAATTTATAAAGTGTCAGATAACTACTAATTAAAACAGTTACAAGTATGCAAATAAGCTGCTAATTTAATGTTAAAAAGTGTACCCTAAAATAAAGTTGTCCAAATATTTTCCTTGTTTTCAAATCGCAAACCAATTTTTTTTTTGTAGCTTTACCACCAACTTACAGAATCCAGATCAGCCAAATCGTCGATATCAGACACAATGCTGCCCCTGCGGTTGGATCGGCTGAAATAGTCAGCCGCAGATTCACTAATGTCCGAAAAATCAGAAGACTGAAAACCAATGACAGAGAGAGAAGGAGGTAGAAAAAGAGGGAGAGAAAGAGGAGTGTCATAGAGAGGACAGAACCATGTTGTGAGGATTTGAAATGGTGCTTGTGGTATTGAAACAGCCTGTCAGAGTACAATAAGGTGTAGGTAATAAACTCAAAGACTGGAGTGTATAGAAAGGCTAGTCACACCCCACTTTAAGACACAACTATAGGACTGGATGGGCCTTGAGACCACGTTTTGGAGCATTTTTTTTTTTGCTTTGTAATAATTTGTTTGTAAGCGACACAACTGAATATTTTCTATAAAAAGTATTTATATTATGATGATTTTATGTTCCGTTCTCTTAGTGTTAGTATCTTGTTATTGTGAGATTATAATATCAGTTTCACAGGTTTAAAATAAGGTACACTGGTTTTAATAGTGGAAGACATACTACAGAAGTGGTTGATATCATTGAATCTGAAGTCTAACCTTTAAACATGAATATTTGGGGAATTAAAGTCTCCTTGTTTTACCTCTCTTGTAAAGAGTCCAAAATGTGACACACTGATGGAAGGAATGTGCTACATAAACAAATGAAATTAAATTTAAACTAAGAGAGTTTTAGAGTCATTGACCTGCATACTGTATTAGCTGATGCAGTTCTAAACTTGATGTCACCTGGGAGTGGTTTGCCCCCTTTTGCTAATTGGTTTTCCTTTGGAAAAATGACTTGGCATTTTCCATGTTGAGAGCCAGACTCCCGTTTCATTGATGGGAACTCGTTCATTTGAGTTTGTAGGCTAGAAGCTGCAGTCGGTGTGACATATATTTTAAGCATAACAAAAGATAATGAGTTTGGCGGACACAATAATAAAGAGTCTAATGGGCACAAAGGGGGTCATTCATGTCACAGTGAAATTACGTTTTTTATGTTCCTATGTGAATGGGGAAAGTGACATCATTGAAATGGCATTTTATGATGTAACCGTATCAGGCTAAAGCCCTGAAGGAAAGACTTCTTTCCTTCCTTATATATACCATGAAAATATAGCGTGAACGTAAAAAAAGGCTGTTATGTTAGCTATCACAGTCATGATAAGTCTAAGAAAAAGGAAAATTTCTAACAGCTGGCTGAATATTAGTTTATATGCACTAGTTGCGACATTGGGAGCTTTTGTTAGCCAGTGATTTCCACTTAGTATATTTGTATTCATGGGTTTCAGCATCCTGTTATAGACAACATTTTAGGGATTTTTCAACATGAAAACAGGATATTTTGTTTTAAATGGTTAACTGCTATGACAAGGGTCCTAATTTACACCATTTTGAATATGCATAGATTTGTGCAAATAAGGAACATTAATGATGAATTCTACCATATTTGCTGCTGACTAACATATATTGCAATGCCCGTAATTAGTGACAATTCAGATGACATTAATTGTGATGTAACTGTACAAGTATATTGTTCACAGGAGTATTGGTGGAAAGCAAAGGTATGACTTAACCTTTTAAACACTGTAAAAACCTAGAATTAAATATTTTTTAAATCTTTGTCCCCTGGTCTCACCACACTGTCCCTGCGTCCTCGGCCGCAGCGCTCCTGGGACACGCTGCTCATGGTGTCGTCATCAGAGGACTGAGAAAAACCACACACAAAAAACACCAAACGCACAAAGCAGATGAGAATGACAGTTATGTAGGATGACTGCATGCCAACGCCACACACACATACATACGCACACACACCCACCCTTAGTTTGAATAACCACCCAAGACACCCAACCAGGCGCTCTTTCTCAATGAGTCCATTCACAAAGCACTTATATCAAATGACGACACATGCAATGCCTATAAATTAGCTCTTTGTCTAATATGAGGAGGATAAACTTAACATGAACTGAGGCCTTCCACTGTAGACTCTGATTACGACCTTGAAAAAATGTCAATGTGGCTGTTTAATGAATGAAAGCTTACAATACAAGTACACATTTGCAGAGTATGGAGCTCAACAGCGCCTCCAACTTCAAAATCTGCTCTGGTTTAGGAAGCAAATTTTCATTTTTCCTATAGACTTTTTGAAAAATACAAATATCACCAGACACATGGTAACCGATATTGATAATGTAAATCCATTCAGAAAAAACACTTTGATATCTTAGCATTTTCTTGTGCTCCTTTGTCACCATGCTGATTAGACGCGAGCAAGCTTTCAAACTTTTATTTTGAAAGGTCTAGGGAAAAAATGCATGGGAAATTTACTTCCGGGACCAGGGACATGCGGTCACTGTTGAGCTCCATAAACTAAATCCACTAAGAAACTACTTGCATATAACCAAAAGCTTAAGATATTCAATGTTTTTCCAATCATGCTATCCAAATGTCATGCCACTACTGAAACTTTAAGACCTCAGATGAAATCCAACATAAAACATTTTTAAAGAATCACACATGCTACTCCTAACACTTACATCTGCACATAAGCTTAAAAAGTCAATCTGCACCATACAAATATATTATCCAGATCTTTAAGTACTTTCCATCATTTCTGTTACAATCATTATCCCAGAAATCACTGCAAAAACCATTACACTACACCGCCATGTTTCCTAACGTAACCCTAAGTTTTTCTATTTTTATCCATTATTAGTAAAAGACGTCATGCTTGTTCAGTGTGTGTTAGCAGTATGGATGTGTTAGCTAACGTCATGCGGTTTGGGCCGTGGTCGGGGCTCACCACAGGGCTGCTGCGGGTGGAACTGGCCCCAGAGGAGTACCAGCTGTACTCAGAGGGCTGTGGTGGGACAGGACGAGGACTGAGTAAATGTACAGGCCAACTGCTGCGAGCTAAAGAGACGCTAAGATAAAAGGTGACTAGGGAGTGCAAAATACATTACTAAATTATCTTTAGCTGATGCAAAATACAAATAAAAGGTAATATTCATGCTAGCTCTTTCTTAAAGCTTCAAGGTTTATTTTTAAACACAGAGCCTGTAATTGTGTAGTCCCAATAAACCAGACCATATAGTCATTTATTTGACTGATGAGTCAATAGCATCTTAGTCAACCACATGATTATTATTATTAGTGGACTAATTATTTTGGAGGATTATTAAAGATTTATAGGGACTACACCAGGAAATGAGAAGACATGGAGTGGCTAGCTAGAGTTTTGGAAATGTATTGTGAGTTTATTCTGACCTATTACACAAAAATATTGTTATAATGGTCAAATAATGTATAGAGATAAGAGATAATGAACACATTTGGTTATGAAACTGACAAATAAAATGCATTTATGTTCTAGTTCAATTAATTCAACCTAAGATGTCAAAATATTGCTATAATTTGATGATCAAAATTGTTATTAGGGATGTAACAATATCCAAGTCTCACGATACGATACTGTCATGGTATGAACCTCACAGTACGATTTTTATTGCGATATTGTGGGAAAGTTCACGATATGGTGGGGAGGCTCGCGATTAGGAATGCAACAATATCCAAATCTCTCGGTATGATATTTTCACGATATACATCTCACAGTATGATATTTATTGCGATATTCTGTGGAGGCTGATATGCTACTTTTTCCTCTTAAAATGCCTTGACAAGACTAAAGACTAAAACTGTTATTTCTACTTGTAGTCTACACTGAAATTGAGAAAAGGATCATGGTCTATATAGTTCTCCGTCTTTTTTTATTATTGCTGCACCATAACTCTTAATTTAAGCAAAGAAACTTGTAATTCAATATATTGTGATGGTCCACGATATTATTGTGAGAACTTTGATAATACAATATCATGATATTTCGGTTACTGTTACACCCCTAATCAGTATGAATCAAGTATATAATATTTTTTCTCATATCATGCAGCCCTGCTAAGCGTTGCCTGTTGGAGATCGACTTACAGCTCGTGAACTGTAGCCTGAGCCGTACAGACCACCGTTGTCGTCATAAAGAGAGGCCTGAGGGGCAGAACGTGGGAGACAAAACAGGACTCAGCAAAACACAGGGGAAGAATGAATCATAACTGTAGCTAAGCGGAACCAGGACTCAGATATAAACATGATTTCTAACTTCAAGGAGGTAATTTATATTTTGTCACGAGCGAAAAACCACAAATATTGATTGTGTCATGTTGAAATTATTAGCATGTGCCCAGATCTAAGCGAACTGTAATGTTATACTGTCATCTGCATTCATGTACTTGCAGTATCAAAGACTATGTTGACTTCCCTTGGTCTCCTGGGTCTGCATTTAATCATTCTTCTATGGGGAATTAGTGAAATAATTTGCAATATTTTGTATAACATGTCCTTCCATACAACCATCAGTACATAAAAAGATGATGAAAACACTCCACTAAAAAAGGTAAAATGTAAATAATGTAAGCAGATGACATTTACTATTATATCTGGAGATTAAAATTGCCAAAGTTTGTCAGTGCCACTCCCTCTTTCACTGTTTAGGGTGAAAATTGTTAACTCAAAGATATTTCTACTAACTATTTAAACTAAGTAACCAAATAATAATAAATAATAAAGAAGCTATTTAAATGTTGATGAGAAAAAACAAAGAGTAGCTTAACACAAAGTCTGGTCTTATCCAACTCAAGTGTGAATCTTAAGCCCCTTGAGTGTCCTGGACCTAAATATAACCGCTCCTGACCACTTTGGCCCTGCTATCAGATGCATGTGGGGGTAGGTCGGCCACTGTAGTGAACTAAATGCAAATGTTTAATAGATACTGAGCAACAGAGTGCACCAGACTGACCATGCTCTGGCTACGGGACAGTGAAGTGCCAGCAGTGGAGGCAGCAGAGGAGATAGGGGTGATGGTGGAAGTAGCAGTCTGTTGAAAAGAAGCAAATTAGCAACAAAATGTCATTGAAAAGCAAAAAGAACAGGACAGAAACGTGAGGTGACTAGAACAGCTGCGGTCAGGGGAAAAAAAGGACTTAAAAAGTGCTGACCAAAAGGGAAAGTGAGGACATGTGATAATGGCCTTGTCAAAGAGGAAGCTGTTAAATCGATTTTCAAATGTACTTAACAATAGATGCATTATTTAACTGCCATAACAGATCAATACACTGCACAAAGTATATTACAATTTCAATATTTACTTTCCCTCATTGCATTACTGTAGCTCATAAGCTGTGAGATTATGAAATTTAGGCTCATTCAGACCAAAATGATAGCCAACCAAAATACTAAGACAAGACTTTCTCAAACATTTAGATAACGGGATCAACGAAAATTCTATTATAAATTGTGATAAGTTAATTTATATAACCTGGTATTTTCTTAACTACCATATTTTTCGGACTATAAGTCTTTCACTTTTTTTCATGGTTTGGGTGATCTTGAGACTTATACTGCGGTACGACTTATATGTTAATCAAGAGGGTGTTTAGGTTTGCGTGTCAGTTTTCTGCGCATGTCTCCTGCAGAAAAAAACGCTAAGTCCTGCTGGAAATAGTGAAAAATGCAGCCGAAAACGATAATCGAGCAGCAGAAAGAAAGTTTTGAGTGAGTGAGAAACTTGTGAAGGACTGGCAAAAAGCAGGGATGGAGAATACAGCTTCACTGCAACCGGACGGGTGCGCCAGGAAACTTTCCTGAAAGTCACTGGATGGATCGATAAAGCCTGGACTTCAGTGACAACCGAAACTATCCTGTTGGGATTCAGAAAGGCCCGAATAATACTAATTGGAACTGATGCGGAGTCTGATGACAGCTACACAAGAGAGGAAGAGCACTTTGTTTACCTTCGGAGGTCACGGAGATGCTCAGAAGTTACCGAGGATTAAGAATTCAATGGATTTAGCGATTTAGAGTGACATTGAGAATTTGTTAAATTTATTATGTTATGTTGTTTATGCTATAGTTATCTGAATAACTGATTATAGGTTACATTAACATACCAGACGCCTATTCAGCCTGTTGTTCTCTATTCAGTTGTTGTTACTATAACTTGCCTTTCAAGGTGAATTGTCAGTTCCTGGTCTCTGATTTTATAAAATTATGGTTTCGTTTTCATTACACATTTTTTGGCTGGTGCTACTTATACTCCAGAGTGACTTATTGTCCGAAAAATACAGTAACACGCATGGTGAAATTGAATAATACAATTACAATAGTTACACTTACAATGCCCTTGTACTCTCATGACTTTATGTTGACCATGAATCTATCTGAACAGCCAATAAAAGCATGTGAAAACTAAAGCCTAAGTTATGCTCATTCAATAACTCTTTGATCCCTGTCTGCAGATAAAAGCACTAGAATTATTGCAGATAAATTGAGACAGAGCTTTAGTTTTTTATAGTACCATTTCTATGGCATATTTACAAACTTCACTTTTAACTATATTGATCGTTGGCACCACAAACTAAAAGGCACTCCTCTGTCAGAAGCTCTGTTAGACTTTAATCTCATCTTTAATTTAAACACCCCCAGCGAGATGTCACTGCAAAATATCAATAACAATATAGCTACTAATAGTATAAGACATAGTGTAACCCTTTTATGACCCTTCTTTAAATATCTAATAAAACAAAGTAAAAGCTAAACCTCCCTGCTCTCAAATAACACCATGACCCTTGCCCGCAGATAAAAGAACTACACTTCAAGGAAACTATAACATTTATAAATCACTAAACCAGAACAACCAGTGCATGCTTTCATTTTTAGCATCTTATAGAAGTTGGTTTCTTCTATTTTTCTGGCCTGATTGAGCACAGACCTCTGAAAAAACCCTATGGCACATGTTTTCAAAGAAAGGCTCTGGTACATGTGCAAGTAAAGTGAGATAGCAGTGAGTTTATAGCTTTTATTTCAGTTTATAATTGGAATTAGGGATATAGCTACTCTTATCTTCTACAAATTAAGTAACTAGATTTTCAATATACAGCTACTAATAGTATAAGATCCCAAATGTAACTCCGATATGACTCTGTGTATTGAGCACAAATCAACCTGAACATCCAATAACACAATGTGAAATCTAAATCCCCTGCACTGAGGTGTCCCTATGCCCCATGACTGCAGATAAAAGTAGATAAAAGCACAAGTCTTTATGCAGGTAAAGAGGCACAGACCCGCGGCTGATAGGACGAGGTGGTGGAGACAGGTTTGGTCTTCGTTAGGCTGGTGTAGTTCCTTTGATCGTGGTACAATCCCGTCTGGAAGTGAAACATCAAACCACCTCAAATACAACAGCAAAGACTTAAATCTCTTCAAAGGCATCCACATTGCACAGCTGGGGCCAAACCAGGCATAGTGTATTGAAAACTAATGGCAAACCATGCTTATATGAAATAGGGATGTCAAGATTAACCAGTGCTTCAATTACTGCAAGCATTTCTGGCAATGGTTATTCAAGGTTATTCGTAGGAGTTTAAGAACCTGCAGTATACAGCAGATGCGTGTCTTAAAGTACAACGGTGAGCACAACGTGAGTATTCACACTGTGTACATGCACATGTGTCTGCACGGAGCCCGGTGCGTCACACACTGCTAAAATGAAAAGCAGAAGTCCAGGAGTCGCTTTTACTCAATAACAAATCTAATATATAAATCCTGTCGTAGCTGCATACGACCCTACCACATCTATGAGACAAATAATACTCATCGCATTTTGTAAGTAAAAGCTAAACATGGTCCAATCTTCAGAATGTCGCTACGAGGCTTACACTTACTCATATACCTAAATAAAATAAAAACTGCATGTTTTATTATAAATATGGCCCTATAGCAAATCAAAATACAATCTGAATGTTTTTGTTTTGTCAGTAATAGCACATAATCATATCTAGCTTTTTTCCCCTCACAGTAATTGAAACTCAAAAATCTGATATCATGACATCCCTAAGTCAAGTTTATCACAAGTCATTTGGCCAGATGATACAAATTTAAATTAGCAGGGATTATTGTCATTATACCATTACAGTAAAAGATAATTGTCATTATACTAGGACTGTCTTGTGTTTTTTATCTTTTACTGCTTTATAGTCATTATCATCAACAAACACCTCAAAATACAGTAAACCATTAGTCAAAAATATAAGCAGCAAAAGCACTCAGTTAATAATTATTAAACTATTTTGTTAAATGTGTGAATTCCAGAGCATGCTATAGTTATGCAAATTCACAAAGTCACAACAAAATAATTATGAATCATAAAAGGATACTACCAAATCCATCAAAAACAATATTACATAATTTTTGCATTGCAAAAGTCACAGCCACAGCCATTCCAACCAAGTTAAGCTTGGTGCCAAAACTAAAATCTGTTTACTCCATCAAAAGGGTCAGCTGAAGCTATTACTAAAACAGCTGTTAAAGAAAACAAGTAGATCCAACCAAGCCAATGCACTTCAAATGAATTACTATTATGTGAATGTTAATCAACTCAGCAAACGACAATCTTCATTTTGAAACCACATTCCTGCAGCAGAAAAGCACTGACCAGTAAATCTTTCTTGGAGGAAGACTTTCTATAACCATGAAGGTCATTGTACACAGAACTCTGCAATCCAGAGAATTGAGCAAAACAGAAATAAATAAATACAAAATAAAAGAGAGACATATGAACAAGAAGAAGATGGACAGAGGTACATACAGTGGATCGGGAGCTTTTGAGGGCAGAGCTGGTGGTGGAAAGGCTGTCAGACTGAAGAGAGAGAATGAAAATATATTATAAATAAATATGTATTAATTATACATTAAACTACTCAAGCTTTAGCCAGTGAATCATTTTCTGTGATCCGCTGGTCCATGTTTCCGAGTAGGATCAAACAGTAACTCTTGTAAGCAGTCACGCATGCATCCTTCAGATCACGGCATGTGCAAACTTCTCTTAAGATGATGTGTAATTCTTTGAAAAACACCAGAACGGAAGCATCCAGCTATTTTTAAACATTGGGTGCAAATCAATTATCTCTCTCCACTCTCACCTGCGAAAATGAGACAGCTGAATTGGCACCATGGGAATTTGATTTGTTTTTGTTATGAGCTGGCATAATAAACATGCCTCTGACTCATTATAAATGCAATAATAAAAACAACTCTAAAAAACTATACTGGGATTATCATGCTTTGAATTTATTGTGTGTCAGTAATATTGTTTATCGGAATATTTTCTGTGGCAATAAATCACTCTTGAAACCGTTATTGTAATTGCACACACATGCACACTCAACGCACCAGCAGGTCTTTTTTACGGGAAGAGGAAGAGCGACTTTTACTGGAGCCCAGGTTCTGTAAGGCTGAGGAGGTGGACTTCAAAAGCAAAAGAGACAAAGTCATTCTCTATCACAAATCTAAAACCAGTCTAAAATCAGTTTAAAGCAGTCCAAAGCACCAGTGAATGATGCCATGAGTCTAAATGGGGATTAGCCTATATGTCATGTTTTAGCAGGGCCCATGAACAGCAGCTGACACACATTAGCGGGTCTCAATGGGGTAGCTGCCATTCTGTGCACAATATGGCCTCTTTAACACCCACCCTTGTACTATAGAACTCTAGCAGAACATTCATACTGGCAAAATGGGTGAAGGTGCTTTGCCCAAAGACACACAAAAATATGTAGCAACAGCTGCAAACACACCCCGAATTTCTGGTGGGCAACAATCTTTATCAACTAAGCAAGTGCTATTCAGATACTGGCCCGTAAAAAAGTTCATAATCTAAAGCTACGTTGAAACTGCAGGGCTTAAGGCGAGGTCGTTCACATTTCCAATTAAATGCGACTTGTATGTGATCTAAAGTGTGAACTTTAAATACCCCAAAAGTGTCCCACATGTGCACTGCAGGACACAACGACGTCACAGGGAGTGAGTGTGGTAGGTGTTTACGGAAGTAGCCTAAACATGGACTCTACGAGCACCTGGCGATTTTAAAGTTGCTTTTGTACTGGAGCCAGAACATGTACAGCTTATTTGTTTTAAGGAGGAGATTGAAAAGGAGAACGATGAGGTTTTTGGCCATGGTGTTTTGAGGGGCAGTGGCAGCAACGTCCGTAGAAAGGAACATGCTGGTGCAGAGTCGCAGCCAAGAGTGGTGGGATTGCCCTGTGTGTCGCTGCTTCATTCACATGGAGTTCATACACAATTTTTGTATGACGAGAAGAATGTTTGCGTACATTTGTGAGCACCCACTTGTACTACTCTCGCAGGAGAGAACACATACGCTGCGGCCTATTTCAGTGAGCAAACGCATCGACGCTGGGTTGTATTGGCTCGCAACAGGTGCTTGTTACTGTGTTGTTATGACGTGTAGGTGGGATGAATGTGACCTGGCTGTTCAGACTGAAGTCGCATGTCAAAAGATCAGATATGTATCAGTTTTAGGACCACATATCCAAGTGGCCTGGATCGCATTCGAAAAAATTGCATCTGTGTAGTTCAGACCGTCATTAAAAGATCAGACACAGGTCACATAGGGGCGAAAAAAAGAGATTTGGGTCGCTTCAGGCTGCACTCTGAACGTAGCCTAATATGTGTTAAAACTTAGGTTATGAAAAGTACTGGAAATCATATACTAATCAATACTTAAATTGGTATTGAAATTAGAAAACAGTTTTGAATAACCTTGAGCTTTATCAGTACTATTATTTTATGTGGAAATGTTTAATATTTGAACACATGTTAAAACTTAATATGTTATGAAATACTAAGATGAACTAAATCTAAAATATACATAAAGGGTGAGTTCTCCTGGCAGAGTGGTGTTACTGTACGCACCCTGTAGCTCCGCACCGACATCACATCATCGTCTTTGCCCTGTTAACGTGAAAATGGAGTCAGCAGCAGAAAACCAGACCGGGGATTAACACAAGGATTAAAGACCCCCTATTGTGCTCAAACTAGATACTTAAAAATGCATTTAGGGCACATAAAATACTACACCTCCTGTTCCAACTTCTAAATAAACATCTCTGCTTTAAATTTGCATAAAAACTCTCGCATTATATTAATGGCAGACAGTTATGATGTCATTGAAATTTAACAACACTCTCCATGGAGGCTAAATAAGAGTCAGGTTTGCGGAGATGCAAGCCCACTCAGAGTAAGTAAGCCATTATTTATATAGCCTGTTAAAAAAGAGGTAAGGATCCATAAAACTTGTCTTTTAATGGAAAACAGACAGCGGAAATGAAGAGAGGAAAGGAGGAAGTGTGGTGGTGAGATACAGACCCGGTGGTGATGGCGGCTGCTGGACCTGCTGACACTAGAGGCCCGGGCCTTCTCTGAGTCAGCCTGGAGTCAGGAAGGAAGCACCATTACACAGGGACAGAGCAGAAGAAACACGGGACATCGCAACACAAAAGATGCTCGCCAAGACACACACCATGCACAACTAGCTCTGTTATCAACCGTAGAAGCAAGATTGAAAAGACAGGACAGTTATACGGGAGCCAAAACTAGATCTAACATGTTCTGAAATGAGATTCTTGTATTAGCTGCCAGTTCATATTTCAGTCTTTTTGTCAATTCCTCTTTTAAAATATGAACTTTGAACAGAATCTATCATTAAAACATAATTCCCAAATTGTTCAGCCCTGTATATGTCCAAGAACTCACATCATTCCCACAGCTTTGAATATTCAATAAATACATACATATAAAAAAATAATACTGCCCAACTGCCTATGGCCTCTTCAACATCATTACACTTTAATACATTCTGGCCATGGTTATTCAACATTCTTACAGGCAAGGTGAGCAGTGTACCTTGCCCAAAGACACAATAACAATGTTCAATTTGCAATACCATCAGGGATTAGACTCCAAACTTCAGGTGAGAGGACTGCCATCTCTGATATTAGCCAATATAAGCAGACTTTTAAATCAGTCTATGATCTACTATGAGAAAACAGAGCAATAAATAAAATGTATTAAACAAAAAAAGTCCAAAAATATGATCAAAATACAAAGTAAATGCACACTCTTCATGCAAATGTATTTTAAACTTCCAAACTCTTTTTTTTTTTAGTAGCATTCAGATTTTCGGTAAGTACAGTGAGAGGTCCTGACTGCTGTTGCATGCAGTCTCACCAAAACCTAAATAAAGGCAAAGGCCGAGGTCCACTCCACAAACACGCACACACACACATATACACTGTACACACACACACAGTTTCGGAGTATCCAAAGCAAATAAACACATTTTTCCACAGTGAGGTTCAGAGAGCGTCAACTGTGGCTCTAAATGGCAGGACTTGAGTTCAGCTTCACATCACAGGCTGTTAGTGCTAGGAGTGGGCAATACAAGGTAAAAGCAATACTGGATATGGCTGTACAGTTCATCACATTTTGATAGTTATTACAGTTATTTCTCCAGTTTAAAAAAGGTAAAAATGCAGCTAGGTATTTTTTCCATACTTCTGAATAAGGCTCATTCTACCCTTCAAACTTGGGGCAAAGCCAACTAGTCAAATTTACAGCTGTGCCCCCCTTTTATTAACTTCTATAGTACATAATATTAGGGGTGTGCAAAAATATCTAAATATCGATATATCGTATTGTTTAATGTATGAGTATCATGGACTGCTGTATCAATATATTACCAAGAGTATTTTTTGGTATATTTTACTCAATTATTTTGCTACAGAGCTACAGTTTTGTTGCTTGTTCAGAGGAAGGAAACCCGTTTATGCAACACATCTGACATATTCACTGTTTTGGGGATTAAAATAGGTGAGTTTCATAATCACTTTGCACAAGAAGTGGTTTAACAAAGACTTTTAGTGTCACAGCCATGATTTAACCATTATTTTTTTATTGAACCATATCAAATCAATTTGAAATATTTCGTATCGATCATTTACCATATGTAGAGTATCGTGGCCTATGTATCGAGGTATGTATCTTATCGGCAACTTCTTAATGATACCCAGCCCTTCATAATGTAAATATAAACTGGCTTAAATAACTGAGATTCAAATTTTGCCCCAAACTTAAAATAATGCCTCCCCCTCCCCTAATGGAGCTGCCCTAATATCAAAATTGTCACGTTAACCAGATAAAAAATTTGAATATAGTAATAGTAAAAACATCCACACAATAAAGAAATCAAATATCCTTCCTAACAAGTTCATACGAGGTGACACTTGTGCAATTTTAAGTTTCTGATGGAGTGCTAAACATTAAACCGACCATTATTCTTACTAAGCTCATCCCTAAAATGTATGAGATATTCATTTGTGTCATGCTTGCCCAACCCTAGTTAGTGCAATTTCACTCCATTAACCAGGCCTACCATCCACTGGTGGATCTGACCCCATTTTCTGTTACTGCTGCTGGAGCTGGAGTGGTGGTGGTAAGAGAGCTGTGCAGAGAAGAAGAGCAAGCGCCAGGAAAAACATACAATCATTGGCCGCTCACAAACTGCTGAAGTGAACAACTCCACAAAAAATGCGTTAGAAATAGAAAATCTGGTTTATCTGTGGACATGCAGCACTTTCTATCATATTCTTGGTTGTGTGTTTTGACATTGGTACAAAATACATTTCGTTGACTTGAATAGGCTCTCTGTAAAACTCCACTGGGTTTAAAAGCTTTGGGAGAATCAGTGAGTGCAGACCTATTACTCATTACACTGAACTGGCCTTCTAGTCTTCAAGGAGAGAATGGATTTATTGACAGCACCAAATCCAACTTCATTAAGGTCATGAAAGCAGGTTAAACAACTGACATGTAATTTAGATAAAGACACGAAGAAGCAATTGGAAAAAATGCACTGATCTTGTGGCACTAGCATTAAATTATCTCCAGTATTAAGCATTATTAAATTTTTTGTTTTGCTTTGTTTTCATTTCTTTCTTTTTTTCCTCTTCTTTAACCATTTTTGAAGTTCTACGAAGGCTTCACTTTCAGTTTAAACAATATCGGCTTAGTGGGATATTAGGCTGGGCCATTGAGACAAAATAAGGCTAAATGACTCATACGATTAATGCCATTACTTTTTTACCTTTGCCACACTCTTCCTGCTCTCGTAGTGGGTGGTGCGCCTATTTTTGGGATTGTTTCCATTTTACAAAGCTTTAGCTTATTTTTTGTTCTAAAAAAGTAAAACCCAATGTCCTCAAGGCATTGAAAGTTCATTATTGTATAAACACTGAATGAGTTATGGAGAGACTTTCATTAAAATCAAAAGTACAATGAATGGAGCAAAGGATCATGGTCTATGTAGTTTGCTGTGGCCACAAAATAAATGCACTTTTTGACCTAGAAGTTTACAGACTGATGTTCTGTGAAATAATAATTAATAAAACTTTAGTAAAAAAACTAAATTCTAAACCTGAATTATTCTGAATAAGCTATTGGTTTATTATGATTTATGTCTCTGTTCATGCTTTATTAAGGCAAATCAAATGTGTCATTATTATAAAGTGATATCAAATAATTTGACTAACCAACTACAACATTGTTAATTAGATGCAGCTCTATGTTGTCGACAGTTTTGCAATGGCTTTTTTTTACTTTGCTTGTGTGATGGTCCCATGCTTGTTGCAGTACCTCTTTCTGTTGCCTCTCCAGCTCTCTCATTCGGATGTCTCTGGCCTCGGCTCGAGCTGCCCTCTTTGCTGCCAGCCGTGCCTCCGCCTGTCACAAACATGAATACACTTGTCATTTACCAGGAAATAAATTAGCAAGAATGTTTTATAAAGAAAGACACACCTCATAACAAAATGATAAGATAACAGATCTGAAAGATGGGCTTAGGATATGTCAGTTTAATGATAGGGATGACAGATAGGAACTGGAATTTGTAAACACATGATAAAAGAGCCCCTTGTGTTATGGTAACTGGCTGTGAAGATGAAGATGACATGAGCTAGGCTAGGCTACTGTTGCAATGATAGCCAAGGCGTTCTATCAAAGAAAATGCACAGACTAAAATAATCCATAGTTGTTACTATAGTGTCTAGTTATGAAAAACATTGTCAAACAACTTGCAAATGTTTTTATAACCAGTTTGAGGATCCTGGAGTTCACCCTGTTTCACAAGTTCACAAGTTATAATTAGAAGCTATTATCTTAAAAGAGGCCAAATGAGACAGCTCTACAAATTATAAACCACTTTAACTGTCGTGAACCAGAAACAAATTTTTATACACAGAAGGTTAAAGATTCTGTATATTATGCTAAATTGACTTAAGCCATGTTATAATGTTACCTCCTCAAAAACAAACCTCGAGTTGTGTTTTGTTTCATTTTCACATGTCTGAGTAATTCTTTATTAATAGTCTGTTTACATCTCCAAAGCTCAAAATGTTCTGCTCCACCTTGTGATGTCATGGTGGTAGGTTTCAAGTTACTTTTTGTTTACTAGAGATGGGCAATTCCACATCTGAAATTGTCCAAATGATTCTAGTGAAGGTGTATCAAGTTTAAAAACACAGTGGCCTTCTTCCTGTAACACCACGTGACATCACAAAGTTGGAGTATTTTTGTGTTTGAGAGAAGAACTCGGTTTGAATATGCAGGGTTTGTGTGTTAAACATACACTATGTGAATGAAAAAACAAAATAGCCATGCTTTTGATGAGGAAACAACAGTATAACATCAGAAAATAGTATAATAATATCAGTCTTTTAGTGTAGTAGTTTAATATTATTTATCCCACAGAAATTTCGACACAATGGAATGCATATGAGTTGACCTAACAACAAGGGAGTAAAGCATTAAAACTAGAAAGAAAAGAAACAGTAAACTGGTCCAAATGTGTCCAATGTCAGCTTTATGACTGCTGCTGATCTGTTGACAGTTCCACCATTAGGCGCCATTAGCCCAGAGCAGAGAGAGGGATCACATTATCAAAACAGCATCCAACACGCTGACACACCCCTCCTATGACTTTCATTAACAATAATAACAACTTGTCACATCATGAAATCAATCAATCCAGTTCCCAATACCAGCATAGACTCGCCGTTACGTGCTGGCCATTGTCAGTGTCTCTTCTCGATAATCATTTTACTTTATGGGTGAGTTTGCGTGCGTGGGATGCCCTGTCACTCACATGTGTTACCCATCAGTCTGAGGGGGTTAATTCAGTGACCTCTTGGGGGAAATTCCAGCGCCAGACAAACAAACAGCACAGTACCAACGCAGAGCTGGTTCAGCTGGTAAACACTGGCATTTCACAACAGGAATGGTGAAACTGGAAATGATCAAGACCTTAATAAGCATCATAAACTTGGTCCAGGGGGAGATTTTTAGCCTCTTTTACCCCCAGCTGAGGTAAAATGTATAGACTAATTATTTAAACTTTGAGTGAAGTAACTATTTCAGGAAACGACTATTATTATTACAGTATGACAGCATGTGTTCAATTCTGCGGTTCCATTATGTCAAATTTGTAAACTGTATGGAACACTGTTTAGTTTTTAGAAATATACTTTTAAATTTCTGGTGTAATACCTCTTTTGTGGTTCAGTGATTAAGAGCATTTACCCCCAAATCCTGATATGGTGCCGTATAATCAGTTGCAAGACTTAAATACTTAAACTTTATTGAATTAAAATATAATAATGATAATGATGCAATAATGATCTAAAATGACAAAAAAAGAAAACTGCAGCAGTGATTCCTGCCTGTAACTTTACAGCACATCACCATAAACTTCATTACAACAGAGTTTCACATTGCTCCACCAGGCTGTCGGCCCCGCCTATGGATAGTTTCAGCTGCAGCTCAAAATATGCCAGCTTTAATAACAAACACATAATTTTAAAAAAATTAATAAAACTCAAAATAAACTGTGCCACATACTGTCCCGCAAAATTAATCAGATGAAGATGGCGTGATAGAGACACTACCACTATTAGCCAACATGCCCCAGTACGGAAATGGAACCAGGGACATTATTGCAAAGTCACCATGTCGGCATAGTGTATATACCTCCTCTTCATTAGTATTTCTTTACACTTTTAGCACCACACTGTAGATAAAACATTCCCACAGGTAACATACAATCTCCCATTATGTCAAAACAGCACAGTGGACATGTCAGCACTTCCAAACCCCACATCACTCCAGCAAAGAGTTGGTCACTTTATTATCAAGCCAGTCTTTTATCTGTAGTGGAAGACAGTCCATAAATACCATAAGTATATTGTAGGCAGTATCGCTACACTGCATTCCTGCTCTGTCTTATCTGCAGTGCCAGAGGCCTGTGGGCATAGGCCTACTCTCATCCAACACAAACCAAGGGAGACCAGGCTCGAAACAGCGATCAATAAGAAAAGACACTTATAGACGATGCATTTGGTATCGGTAAAACGAAACAGAATCAAGTAATGCATTGGCTTACGATGGAGTTTAGTTGCAGCATTAGTGGTTAGACCGGATAAAATAAGCATATTGTTTATAGTAACAGTGCTGGAAGATGAGTCACCATAGCAGGGACAAAACACAAGAAGGATTTTGGTTGAGAATCAAATTGTAATGATAAGTTACAATACTGCAGACTTGGATTTAGTTTTTACAATCTTGCAGACTTGGATGTAGTTTTTCGATACAATACAGTGCAATGAAAATTTGGGTGGCAAAATCTATCCACTAAAATAACTTCAGAGCGGCTTTATTTGAAATGCATGCATGATTGAACTACACTTTACATGCCAGTGACATAGAGTAAACCCCCATTACTCTTCATCACATCGACTAAAAGAAAAAAGTGGAACACAGAAATGGATGCATGAAAAAACTTGCTCAAGATTTATATTTTATTATCCCTAAATAGCGGAATAATATTTGAGTTTACTTGTATTGCAATCTTGTGTAAGACATAAATTACGTAATTCATATTTCACCACCTCGGTAAATGTTTGTAGAGGGCTAATCATGATTTACACACAACAGGTCCCAATTACCTCATGGAAACTAGTTCGCTGTCTTCAGAGGACATTACATTTTGCAGCCTTGACTGATCTCAATATCTCTAGTTCAACAGGAGATGTTGCCCTTCTTTCTTGAACAAAAAGGAAGTAGATTGTTCTGCCTGGTCAGACGGAAGGGCCTGCACCTGTCTGTCTGTCTGTCTGTCTGTCTCTGTGGATGACCTGGTCCACAGCTGAGCTCAGTCTGAGGCCTAACTATATCCTCTGCCTCATCCTCTGCCTCATCCTCTGCCTCATCCTCTGCCTCATCCTCTGCCTCATCCTCTGCCTCATCCTCTGCCTCATCCTCTGCCTCATCCTCTGCCTCATCCTCTGCCTCATCCTCTGCCTCATCCTCTGCCTCATCCTCTGCCTCATCCTCTGCCTCATCCTCTGCCTCATCCTCTGCCTCATCCTCTGCTCCTATTTTTACTCCTCTTTTGCCTATCCTCTGCTCCTATACTATATTTGAGGAAACACAACCACGTCGCAGCTCACGAAAAAGATGAAGACACAGCTAGACCTGTCACAGTAAAACATTTTGAAGTGAATACATCCCTAAAGAAAATATAGACTATCATGTTTAAAACAAATTTATGCCACTAACACAACAACCCTAAAGCAGGACTATCTCCACACAAAATGTTCTAAAAGTACAATACCATGTAATAGGCAAGCAAGTTAGGATCTGCAATGAGTTAAAGTAATTTATTCAGCCCTCTACAACTACAATCTTACCATGGTGCAGAACAACACAAAGTTCTCCACAAAGAGGAAGTACCCATGATAATTTCCCCCAAAATGATTGCTCTACCTATAATTTATAAGATGAGACTCAGTAATATAGTAATTTTAGTTAGTTTGCCTGTGTAGTTTAATTGGTCAACAATTTGTATAAAATCGATGCCATGGTTTAGCTCTAGGTTAATCTAAGAGCAAAGAGCATACAAGGAATCATTGACCTAGCACAGGCTCTTGAATAGACTTTTGCATGTTTTAACAATAAAATAATAATTTAATGTTTACAGATTTTTCACCTGGCTTGAAGGATTGTGACAAAGAGACACTCAACAATCACACTGAAACTCTATTGTGGACTATATTTGCTGAACAATGTTTTGAGCACTTGACATTTGCATTCAAGAGAGAGGCATTTTTACACCAGGCAGGCAGCACTTAGTTTTATTCAGTGATGGTGAGTGTTTAAAATAAACTGCACCAACTGCTAAAAGGCCAGTGTTATCAGGGGATGAAGAGGGATCACAGAGTCGCGTTGTGTTTACGGTGAGTGAGTGTTTGGACCAGGCTCAGAGGGTGGACAATGTTAGAAACTGAACGGTGACACTTAGATGAAGCTATGGACACTAGGGCTGCAAGATTAGACGCAACTGAATCAAAATCGCAATTTGAACAGACACAATTAGCAAAGCGCAAAGGCTGCAATTTTTTTATGACAATAATTTCCTCTTCAGACAACATAATTGCGGTATTCTGGTACAGATGTTGTTTTATCCCACTGATTTCAACAAGGCAGCAAAAAACAAGAATTTTGACATTTAGTTCATCTGCAAACAATATGTTTGTCATATTTGCCAACAACCACCAATTTATTCGTGATTCTTGATGAAAGAAAACAGATTTGACGGTCCAGCTGTTGTGGCTTGCTACATATTTGGTGCAGTTTGTTCAGCATAACATTAGATTTAGATCATTTTTATTATATGGTTGCATTTATGCCGATTTTGGCACTAATCGTTACATCAATAAAACTAGTCAAAACACTGATACACACTGCAATGTTTTCTAATGAGGCTCTGATGTTACTCACGTCTGGTGCTGTGGTTGTCAATGGCCAATGCCATGCTGGTTTTGCGTAGTTGTAGATGTCCATGTTTGGAGGCTAACGCTAACCCTCCCATTGAAAATGCATTAGAGTCAATCTATGGAACAGGACCAGCCTTTAGCCGACAAGTGTTCTGTATAAAACAATGGCATGGTCTGTTGAGGACAAATGATATCAGCAGCAAAATTACATGGACTATGGACCTCCACGATATGCACTTCCGCGTGTGGGATGTATGGCTTTTTAATATCATAATGTGGGGCAAAGTTTAAGATAAATGCTTCAATTCTAAATAATTGTAATAATTATTTGTATTATTCTTTATTTTATTTTATATTTAGAAAATGTGTGCTATATATTTGAAATTTAAACTGACGCCAGGAAGAGAAGACAGTTTAATCCAGGTTTAGCCCAGGTTTACTGCTGGTTTAGTGCAAGTTTACCTCTGGTTTAGTCCAGGTTTACCGCTGATTTAGCCCAAGTTTACTGCTGGTTTAGCCCAAGCTTACCGCTGATTTAGCCCAAGTTTACCACTGGTTTAGTCCAGGTTTACTGCCCAAGCTCTGTGTCTTTTATTTTTTTTATTTATTTTAAAAGTATTTTATTGTTTTATTTATTTATTTTTTGCTATTCTATGATTTTACTCTTTTTTTTTTGTTACTGGTTTTATTATTTTCAGACTAGTATGATTAAATCTGAGCGTTTATTTTATCATTTTATTATTGTTGTTGTTATTATGTATTTGTGCAGCACTTTGGTTTGGTTTGTTTGTGAAAAGTGCTATAGAAATAAAGTGGACTGGATTGGAAGTTTACCGCTGGTTTAGCCTAAGTTTACCGCTGGTTTACCGCTGCTTTATCCCAGGTTTACCTCTGGTTAGCCCAGGTTTCGCCTTGCATTACACTCATTCAGTTCTACTTTTCCCTTATATTCACCCAACTGGTTCATTCAAAGTTTACTCCAGGTTTAGTCCAGAGTGCCCTAGTTTGACCCTGTCTGTTCTCGTTTTACTACGTTACTTTGAAAGCCAAATATTTCCTAAGGCGATACTTGCTGTAGTAGAAAGCTCAGGAATCATCTAGTCTAGTCACCTTCAGCCTGCTGCAGGATTCTGGTATTCAAATGAACGGACATGCTTGTAACATAAGAGGCCTCCCCAAGTGTGCTGTGACGAAGCAGGCTCAAATTCACCCCCATGGCAGCCCTGGAGCAGTGTGTTACTAACTCCTATTAAAGTCCAGATTGGAGTGAATGATCGGGGGAGTGTTGACATTCACCAGTGCTGCTCGATGACCCCGTGAACTCAGAATACAGTTGATCTAATCTTCAGTTCAGCGCGGCACAAAGACAGAGTTTAGGAGGAGCAGGCTGGGAGTGTCGAGTGACTCATGTTTCTATGATTGGACGTCATGACTATAAAGAGCAAATGGAGCCTTGTGCTTTCAGTCTGCAAGAATGAGACACTGAATCACTTTCTAACTGCATGGAATAAACTTTGGAACATGTGTCAGTGTTATTTTTATGTACTACCAGAAAATATTTAGCTTTCAAGAGAATTAAACCAGGACCACCTAGGAACTAAGCTTTGACTATTAATGTATATATAAAATGACAGTTTACATAGATTAAAAACTTTCCATTCAAGCACAATTTTAGGCTCATGCCAAATCCAGTTGCACAAAAATATAGAATAAACGACACAATTTAAATATTTGGCTTATATCTAGTACAAAACCAAGAGACAAACTTTTAAACACCAAACTTGACCAATAACCTAACCAGACCTCTCGACTTATCGTTCAGTTTTGTTCAGTATATGAAAGTTTGGGGCTCAATATATATCGTGTGTACAATTTCTTTGCAATAATGAGGACATTTTTGCAATTTTTTTTCATGTAATAATGTAAGATTTGAGGTGGAGAAAGTAGAATAAATGGCTAATTGGCTAATTATTGGTTCATTGTGCCAGGTATTGTCTGTTGATTGTGACTTTTAATGATACTGTATATTTAAAAACCGGTTTAATGGGATTATCCTGCACTTTGTCAGTGACTTTAAGCAGTATTTATTATCGTTTATATATAATATTTCTCTGCAGCAATATATCCTGCTTCAAAATGTGTTATTGTGACAGGCCTAGTCATATTCATGCATCAACTTCTTGCAGAGCTGCCTTGTGTAAGAAAATTTCATGGGTTTCCACTTAGTAAGAAACAGTCAGCAAAAGCATGGCTGTAAATTTGACTTGTTTTGTTTCACTTATTTGCATGCATTTCACAAATATCAGATGTTTGGGACATGTGTTGTAGGAGGAGCAGGATAGCGTCCTCACGAAATGCATTCACACACGCATAGTTAAAGCAGCTAATAGGCTGGGTGGGGTATTTAAGAATGCACGCTGCTTGTAATTCTATTAAAGTAATCAGTTTGTTAAATGTTTAGTTCATTCTAAGTTTGACAATAACTTAAAAACCTCTCGGGCAGATTGCTCCTACATGACTTAAATAAACACTTAAGGCGAAACAGAAATTGGTGACACTTAAAACTCACGAAGAAGCATCATGCATATTATTGTCTTCTCATTTTCCAAACTTCGATATCTTTGCCTCGCAGACACAAAATCCTTGACACTGATCATACTGAATTTGCATTTTACAGCGATTTCATTCTCCCTGTGAAGCAAGCCAAAGGAATTGTAGGCCCGCTCTTGAACCAAATGGAATCATCTTGGACAAGTTAGAACAGGCCACGCAGCTTCTCCTCTCCCTGTGTTTTCCCCCAAAAAGAAAAACACCACAAGTCATGTCAGAGCTCCAGTGGTCCGAACCAGCTGTCTCCACCTGGTTCAACTATACACAAGCCATACACAAGCTATACACAAGGTAACTCGCCAAACCAGTATAGCGACATTTCGTTTTGTACAGCGCTTGTTCCTTGACCACCACACCTGAGTTTACTGTCGCCAAGCAAACTTCTTAATTACGTAACAAAGGTAATGTTTTTGACTTGTAAAGAAGAGCTTTTGCAAGGATTGAAAAGTTAAGTGGAGAAGCTGATAGAAAACCAACAATGACTATAAAACATAAGTTAATGTAGCAATAAACCACATTCCATTCCATTGCGCAAATACGTCATATTACTTTATTTTGACTAGATTTATAGTTTAAAGAGTATAAGCCTGGCAAAACAAATGATACCCAGAAACTCAATTCTGATTTGAACAGATATACAATGCTGAAATTTCATAAAATAGGTCAAATAAGGTCCTTTCCATGTTTTGTCTTGGTCTATATTAAAACTATTATAATGCTTTTTAAAGTCTTAAAATACAGTAATCTATGATATTGACTACACTTGCACTGCAGTTATGAAGCTGTTGGGATATTGCTTTGTCAGTCAGCTACAATATAATGATAACATTAAGGGGAATCGCTGTCCAAGTTTAGACCATGATGCCTGTTTAATGGTCAGAAAGTGCAGCCGGATAAAGCATTAAGATTGATTTTGTAATTTTCTTGTTTCTAAATGGGGTAATGACGTAAACTCATGTGTTTATGAATGAAGATACAAGCTATATGTGTTCAGCTTACCTCTCGTGCGATACTACTCAAAGCCTCATCTTCTGCTGAGAACCGATCTTTCATGGGGGCACGCTTCCTGCCGCAGCCTTGTGTCCCCATGGTGATGACGCTCCAACTTCAGACCCACCAGTGATGTTGTGTAGTTATGCTCCCAAATATTTATTAGAAACCTGAATAAAAGAAAGGAAATCATGATAAAAACTTAACTGCAAACTTTATTTACTGTAGATAGTGCAGGCGGTTTCCTTTCTAAAACAAAACATTGACCCCCATCTTATTTCATCCACTCCTGCAAAAACATATCTCACTTATGTTTGGCACATTCAAGGGCTGTGGATAAACAATTGTAGCTGACATGGTGGACATGGCGGGCCAGAGCTGAGCCATAACTCAAAGTTTTAACAGAGCTTTTAAATAATGTGTGACAATTAGGTAAATATTTTGCAAGAGGCATGAAATAGAGGCACTGGCAGTTTCACACCTCTCCCTGTGCTGTGTCAAAACCTCAAATGCCAAAGAAAATATACAAAGCTGAACATGACAGGGGCTAGCAGGGGGTGAATACAGATCTGGCAGAGTCAGAAGAGACAAAACAGGCACAAGACCACCTACTTTTTTACTACTCAATTGACCATAACTGACCAAACAACAACAAAAATAATAATATAGTGATTCAAAAAGGGGGTTAATTATTATTTTGGTAATTACTGCATATAGTCTTGATGAAGAACTCTTTCTCAGAAGTCATATCCTTGCAAATAACCCATGCAAATTAGTTGTAGATAATCTTGGCAATGGGAGCGCACCCAAAACAACGCTGCAGTTATTTCAGGCTACGTTTTGCCAATAATATTAAAGATTTACGCATACGACCTTTGTATTTTAGTGGTGCGTTAAGTAAATTACGCACAAGTGGATGTGATTTTTGCGATAGACCATGGTAAGGACGCATTTACGCAATAAAAGGACCACGATTCCCAATCAAGATCCAGCCTAAACTTAACATTAGCAGATCCCTGTTGAGAGGGCTAACATGATTTGCTATCTCGCATGTCGCGCTATCCAAATTCCTGTGAATATTAGCTCAGATTGTGCTATCAGCTACGTACACGGTCTTCTCATTAGGCAACACTGGACAAGAATAGACTCCACATATCCGTCTCGTTTCTACAAGTGATGTCTCAACCACTAAAGACATTCCCTGGTGCTAAATGCTAGCTGAGCACTTTAGCAGTGAGTTAGCCGGTTAGCTTCTACGGCTAACCTCGGTATTCCTGTGAGGATATAGGACGAATGATCCCCGCGTCATTCAGCCATACCTTTAACGCACGGCTCTGGTCCAACAGCGATGGTCCCAAGTAAAGTCCAGTTTGTGTGTTTGTTTTATCAGTGATCCATTGGGCTGATCGTCACAGATTGTCAGTGTTTTTGTTCGCTGACAGCTGTCATCAGTCCGCCTTTCCACCGCTCTCCACTGCTGCCCTCTTTACCCACTTTCCGCACGCACCGCTCCAACGACAAGTCCCCGGATGTGGGAAGAAATTTGGGTGTGTTGCTGCCTTCAGGGGACACAAGACGCAGTAGTTATACCGCTTTTGGGGGATGAATATTGCCAATTTGCATTCTGTAAGTTTGTACAAGGACAGAAAATGTTGCAATATAAATGCATAGGTTCACGTGAGTTAGTTACTTTCACGCAGTATTTAGACAAGAAGAAAACATTGTCCGGTGACCTTTGAAACCTTTAAAAACACAATTATAATTAATTTACTGGAACTGCCACGAATTAAATAATTTCAAATGTATTAGGCTGTAACATTACTTGATTAGAATAAGCCTATTTAATTGCCTCACTGTTATAAATAAATCCCATTCTAATTTATAAACCTTAACCTTTAGTATATCTACTAAACATAAATGCCTAACATCAATACACATCATTAACTAACATAAATGTTTTGTTTTTCATATTATCTATTTATGGATGAAGGTCCACACGTCACGTGACTGCAGCAGCTTAGCATTATAGATGAACTATGTTGGTTACTGCTAAATCCACAAGGGGGCAGTAGTGGATAGGGTTAGAGCCTTTAGATTTAGACAAACTTTATTAATCCACAAGAGAAATTAATTGGACACATTACCTCACACTTCACAATATATTAATAACAAAGAGAACAAATATAAACGGTAATAATAAATTCTAAAAAAGCATTATGTTAAATAAGACATAATTATGTAAATGTATATGTACAAGTCTAAATAAAATAGAAAAATAAGTAATAAAATAATGATTATTGACAGGACATAGGGCTATCTGTTACATAAGAGTTGTTGTACAGTTGTAGAGAGTATGGTATAAATGTAGACCTTTATATATATTTATATAGAGAGTCTAGAGCTGAGTAAAATTTATTTGGACAAAAAACCTCTCTGTAGTTTGAGAAGCAGGGCACACCGTGGATTAGATAACGTTTATGAAGAGACTTTGTATTTGACTAATGGCCTGTGCTTCAAAACTGAGTTGTGTTTTGACAACAATTAGAAAAAGGAACTTAACCACAAACCATAAGCTACACATTGTATGGTTTCATCACGCATGACTTCAAGGGGGCTTTGCTCTTATTATTTATTTGCCTTTGATTAGTCATACCACATGGATGGTGCTCTTCAGCTGCAAAATTACATTATTTTGAATTATGAAAGGGCAAAGAAGAAGTGGAAAACTCATCATATCCAGTTGAAGTTTTATTAGACAAATGAACAATAAAATAAGTAGTAGGAGTGCACAGGGTGAAAGTGCAACATCTCCAAATATTCACATGATCTGAAAACACAAGCTTTACAAATGACAGCACTTAGCCTAAAAGTAAGTGTTAAAAGTTGGGTTAATCCATCAGAGGTCTTGTTCCCATCACAACAACATCAACATGGGTCAGTGTGCTTTTACATCAAAGTCCCAGTACAATGCAGAGCCACTGTTTCTGTGTTTTTTTCTGTTTCATTTCGGGACACTAATGACTGTTTTGTCTCTGATCACCTCTGTGTGCTCCCGTGCAGACAGGGCTTAGCAATGGCTTAACTCTGAGACACCAGCAGCCATTCAGTCTCCACTCCTCTGGAACTTCTCCAAGCTTGCATCATTGTGAGTACAAGTAAAACTCATAACATAAAAACAAAAGTGGGGGTGTGACATAATGATATTGTGTAGTGATGCAGTATTGATGTTGCAGACGAGTTTATGTTGTCATCGATATTTCTGGCATATTTCACAAAATCAAGTGGCAGGTATACTGTTTGGTCCCTGGGATGGGAAAAAGGAGATTTGTTTATGTAACACAGTTTTTAGAGCTGGTTTTATTGCTGAAAAACACCTAGAAAAACAAGCATTCTGACTGTGAGCGGGGTTACTTCTCCACAGATCTGAATTGTAACTTGGTCTGGTCTGGTCTCCATGTTGATAGAATGGTTTAACACCATACTACAAACCTTCCAGTCAAAGCAATAGCATTTGATGGACCTACCACCAAAAAATCTTAATTATACTATTTTGCTGAATAACAAAAATTTGGTTAATTAAATGCCTTTTATCATTGTTCATGTAATGGACAATGGCTTATGTTTTATAGGCATCTAAATGTACCCCAAGGCTTGCCCTCTTTTTTTCTTTCTTTCTTTCTTCCACTAAAGTGAGTAACTCTGGCATTTTTATTTTGTAAAGGTAGCTCACCAGAGGAAAAGTTTGGAGAGTTACACAATTCACCCTTAGTATATAAACAACAAAATAGTTGTTTTTCCAAGCTTTAAGAGGCATTTTCCTCAACTTGGGCTACTGCTATCATATGTGAAAGCTGTATCAATATCACAAGAATGTTACATTACAAGTTTTTTCTTTTTCTACATGACTTTAAGTTATATATATATGTAATACTAAACTGTGGTCAACGAAGTCATCATAAGTGCCAAAGAATGTAATAATTAAAGCGTCATGTAACTTTTTACAGTAAGGTGTTAGTCGTTATAAAGTTATTACCATACTGTGAAATCTTCCACAGTGTCATTAAACGTCTTAATATAAATTAACAGGTGACCAAGTTACAGGTCAAAACATCAGTAATGAAAAAAAAAAAGCTATACCATTAAGCATTCCAGACAAAGCGCAATATCTCAATGGTGACAACAAGCAACAAAAAAAAAAAAAAAAGAAAAGAAAAAAAACTTTAAAAATATTCCATTGTACAAGAAATATTGTTGTAAAAGTGCATTTATTTACTTAATTTACTGTATACTGTGATCCATGCTTTGTTTTGAATAGTGAGGGACTGATCATGTCTGTCAAACCAAGCAATTATAAGATGATTTTATCTTATATCAAGTGAAAAATGTACTTTACACAGTAGCCAAGAATGTCAAATGATCAGTAAGTAATGACTTAGATTTGGGGCCATATAAAATCAGTTTGACAGAATGAACACGATAAAAAACAAGCACAATCAGAGATAGCAATCTGGTCCCCCATGAGGCATCGGTGGGGGCAGTTCATCACCACAGAATGCATCTTATGAGGAGCCCAGCCCATATTACATAATCGTTATATCCACAATACAATGTGTTTAGCTGTACAGTGCCCACGAACATTTGTGTGATATTGGTCACACATGAGAATGTCTGTGTTTACTTTTTCTGAGATTTTGAGACCACTCCCGTTGCTCTAGCTCGATCCTTTGTGGAGTTATGACCAAAAACGCATATTTGACCTTGGTTGCCTTGACCGGTTTTAACCTGTAACATCCAGGGTACCCCGGTTATGTGTGTGTCAACTTGTGTGATAATTGGGTGACTATTTTAGCCCTCAGACGGTTCAGAAATTGCCGAAATCGTCTATCGTTTATAATGGCATGACCTTTCAACTGACCAGTGTGACCTCCAATGACCTTGGATCATCACCAAACATTTTTTGCGGCATCGAGCACGGGGGCTTGACCCACATACCAAATTTGGTGACAATCGATCCATAAATGGCGGAATTGTCGCAGATGGACAGCCACACAGACACAAACACAGACACACAGAGTGAATACAAAACCTGGTCAACCCTTCAGGGACCAGGTAATAAGACTAAATGTGGAACTGAAAATACTGCCTTTGTAAGATATATAATTGCAA